CCTGTCCTGGTGCCTGGGGTTATTCCTCCCGAGGGGCAGGACCCTGCACTTGCCTTTGTTGACCTTCAGGAGGTTCCTCTCCGCCCACCTCTCCAGCCTGTCCAGGTCCCTCTGAAGGGCAGCACAGCCTTCTGGTGTGTCAGCCACTCCCCCCAGTTTAGTATCCTCAGCACACTTGCTGAGGGTGCACTCTGTGCCTTCCTCCAGGTCACTGATGAATACATTGAACAAGACTGGACCCAGTACTGCCCCCTGGGGTACACCGCTAGACAAAGGCCTCCAAATAAGTCTTTTATTTTAAATGCTGGCTGCCACAGTGCATTTAATACATCCAATTCATAAAGAATTCATTATTTTGATATTTGTTTTCCAAACACGTCTATGAACTAATCAGAATTTACTGAAAACTGCTTTATCATCCGCTAGGTAGAAAACTAAGGCTCCTTTTTGTAGGATGCACTATTTTTTCATATTTAAGGGTGATCATGGAATGAAATGAACCAAGTGCTTTTCTTAAAGAGTTATGAGATCACTCCAACAAATTGATGTCTGGCCATTGTGACTTTTTTTTTTTTTGGTCATGTGCAAGAAGACACACATTTCCTAATACTGGCAGTACTAAATATAGACAGAAGACAGGTGCTGCGAAGAACAGCATTTACCTACACACGGTTGGCTGTTGTTCTTCAAAAAGTACAAGTGAGAACAAAATAATTCTAAAAAAAAAGTACACAAGCTGTTGTATTACAACGTGCAAAACAAAACTATACATCAACCGTAAGACAATAAATGAAGCTCATATTACATCATCCCAAGAACTGATGTATTTTGATAGCTTAAAAGAAAACCGTAGATAAAAATGTGATTACACTACGTAATTCAAAAATATAGATGAAGTATACAAAAACCTTGATGACTGAAACAGTTGCATATTTCAAAGTGTGCTTTACCAGTTGGTAAGGCTTTAGGATTCTGCCGGTTGTCTTGCTACATATTGCTATAGAATAGGGTTCATGGCAATAACTGTGTAAGAAAGATGCTTGACTGTGGAAAGAGACAAGTTTTCTTAAATAGACAGTGTCAGTTTATATGATGAGAGTGACTAGCATTTGTTTAGTGTCTCAAAGGCGAACGCTGCCTATGTCTGGCATGACAACCAGTGAAATTTAGAAATAAATGCTGAATCATGATTGGCTATGATGAGTTCAGCACAAAATATTTGCCTTTCAAAAGTCCTTTTTTTCTGGAGTTCTAAACTTTATACCCCTTTTCTAATTGTTAGATTAAAACATAATTTCACATTTTAAAATTCACTACCATAAAAAAGATTGCCAGATCTTAATGATATATACACTACTACTTTTATGGAGTTCTTTACATTGAGGACCTAGAAACTCAGTAATTATAAAAAAGAGTCACTGAGGCAAAAAAAAGGAACTTTGTTGCTATTTTTATATTAATTCTTAAAAATTAAACTGTATTTAAGAAAATTTGTCACTACTACAGAGACAATCACTTACCTTGGCAGTTAGCTGAAGAGTTGCTTGTTGCAGTTTTATTCCATTGGCTTATGTATCTAAGCACATTAAAACAAACATACATTGCACTTAATGCATTGCAATTGACAAAATCCTAAGAATTAACATATCATCTTTAGTTTTATGTGACGGCCTGTTAGCTAGAATGTAGAAATATCTCCTAATGCACTGCACTACATGGCTCTGAAGAGAGATTTAGAGGGAAGGGCTCTGTATAGAGATTTAGAGAGAAAGTTTCATCAAATTTTATCATTAACAATTAAGTCTTCCAAAATAAGATCCCAAACACATACTTACTCCTCATAGTTGAGTGCATTTGTCCATCTCAGTATTTCATCCACTTCCCAATCCATTACCTTTTTTGATCCTTCTTTCTCAACAGTGTCAACTAAGCCCTCTGCAGCCCTTTGAATTAAGATCGCAGTAGTAGGATCTTCTGTTGTGACCCACAAACTTCCTGCATAATACCTAACAACAAAACAGTAAGCAAGAACTTTTTTTGCTGTAGGCTGTTTAGGACAGTCATTACTGCTTAGCTATGCCATATAGTAATAGTCTACCTGAATTAAAGATACATGGCAACAAATGCAAATAAAGCCTGCAGTTGACCAGAGGGTCTAGGCCAAGGAAAAAAGGCTGCATGACTCCATCGCTGCTGGGACCTGGGATGATTAGCACAGGAGGAACTGCTGAGAACCAATGCTATGAGATGGCACCATGCCTCACCATCCTTCAGTGATATTGTGGGAACCCAGACCTGTTTTTAAGAGGGTGGCTATTTGCCCTGTGGAGCTTCTCAACTCTCACCTTTCACAAATCTCTACTTCGGGGTAGGTAGTCATTACCAAGGCTTCTGAGGCCCTCCTCCACAGTTCTGTCCTCAGATAATACACATAGAGGATGGTCATCCACTCATTCATTCACTGTCAGCTCTTTTAACTGCAGGGGTGGGGCAGGCGGTGGATGCCTCCGCTGGGATGCAATTCCCATATGGTGCCCAGCACAGGAAAGCTACCATTACATAAATCCTAAAGACTACAAATGATTGTCCATAGGCCTCAGTAAATTGTGGAGGCATATTTGTAGACATATCAGAAAATTTTACTCGAAGGACTCATAATCGCCTTGTTTTATATAACTTCAGCCTTGGAGTGAATGAGTCCCTTCTTCTGAAGAGGGACAAGATCCTATACGGCGTTCAGGAGCCTGCCTGCATTGTCAGAGACACTGCAATGCTCCTGTGAAGCTGGGTCGTGACACTGTACACTGTCATCTGGAGTTTCTGCCTATTTCTGCAACATCCTTACTGCACACCATGGTGAACTGGAATGTACTTTTGGTTACCTAAAGGGAGAGGAGGCAGCCTGTAATACGCTGTAGAGAAATGTTCCTGAAGTCCTCTGAATTATGGATACTTGCTGTGCCCTGCATAACCTCCATAAGGATGTAGATGAGTCTTTCCATCCTAGCTGGAGTAGTGAGAACCAATTTATTTATTTGGTGACTATATCCTCAGCTCTCTGCAAGCTGTTTGGACACTCCTGACAGCTGGCATTTGTGCCCTGGTGTTTGTGTCCAGTTAGAATCCATAAATAGCCAACAGAGAGAAAGATGGAGTCTTCAGAAAGTGAGTCACTCCACCAAAGAACTCTACCTGTGTAACAGTCAACATACCAAAGAACTAAGGAGGGACTGAATCATGCCTTGGACATGCCTGTTTTTATCCACTGGAACTGAGGAAGGCTGGGCACTTAATTTTAGACTAGAAGCTTAAATTTTCACATGATGATGTTGATGGCAAGCTACATGAAGAAGGCATTTATCTATGGGACTTCCTCACAAGTCTGGAAGGGAATTTTTATGACGTTCCAGAATACTGTCACAACATCTGTGTAATCCTGTCAGAGAAATCCACAGAGAGAGGTAAAATGGCTCAGAATAATGTTGCTTCCCTGGCTTGTGCCCAAAGCACCAGATATATAGTTTCAGAATCATTTCATTAACAGAACCCCTGCAGAAGCTTTGCTCTCAGTGAAAGTAGCTCAACAGGATATTCAATAAGACTTGATATAGAACTTCATTGTTTATCATGTACTGTACATTTTTTTAGTTAAGCAGGAAAACTATTTCTGAAAATAGCCATGACAAAACTACTGTTCTAAACATACAAAGAAAACCTATGCACGTAAGTCTGAAAATTGTATTAACTCACATTTTTTTCATCCATTCAATTTTTCTCTTTTTTCGCTTTTTCTCAATTTCTTGTTTCCTCTTCATTTTAGAGTAATGAAACTGCTCTGCCTTTTTGTTTCCCTCATCTGTTACAGGATCTATAGCCCTCCAAAACTGTTGGTAAATGTGACATATTGAGAGAATTTTATTGAAGTGCCATTGCTGATGTTTTTGAACTCTAGTGTGTATGTTCTCATAGGTCATATGCTTTGGTCTTTTATTATGACAATATTTATAGATATATCACTTATATGTTTTACTTAAATATTTAGTATAATATGCCTCATCAAAATCTATTTTGAATCTTTTAAGTTACTACGTCTTCTCACAAATGCTAATTCAACTACAATTGTTCCATACTGTAATTATCTGCACAAAATCTGCCACACCTGGAGTACTGTGTCCAGTTCTGGGCACCCCAACACAAGAGAAACACGGAGCTCCTGCAGCGAGTCCAGCAAAGGGCTACAAAGATGATGAGGGGACTGGAGCATCTCTCAGATGAGGAAAGGCTGAGAGAGCTGGGCCTGTTCAGCCCGGAGAAGAGAAGACTGAGGGGGGAAACTTATCAACATGTGCAAGTATCTGAAAGGAGGGTGTCAAGAGGATGGGGCCAGACTCTTCCCCGTGGTGCCCAGTGACAGGGCAAGAGGCAACAGGCACCAACTGAAACACAGGAAGTTCCATCTGAATATGAGGAAAAATTCAAATGGTGAGAAATACAGCAAGAAAATAATATCCCAAGTTTAATTTCTAATTTCTACGTAAATGTCAACTAAAAGCAAGCTGTTAACACTCCACAAGATGGTACCTGGATTTTTTCTTAGAAGTTATGAAATCCTTGGAGGTTAAGAAAAATTGCTCTAACTACACCTAAATTAGTTCAGCATCAGAACTGCGGAAGCACAACAGTTCAAGAGAAACGCTTCACTTTCCTGCAGTATCAGAAAGTAAGTAGCCACCCTTAAACTTTTAGATAGATTACACTCAAGAAAACTGTTTGGTTAATCTTTCTTCAGGTCAAATTACTACCAGAACACTGTGTTTGTGTAGACCTTTCATCTTTAAGAGAGATTGCCAAAGATAAAATTGTTTCCAAAATTTAAAAAATGCCCCACAATTTTAACATAATTTGATGCTGCAATTTTATACCTTTTTATACCACAGACTATAAAAAGCCTTTAACACAGAAGTATGTTTATCAATCCCAAATGCTGCTGGAAACAGTGAACTTTATTAACTGTCAGTCTAAATATAGTTAGGTTTTAATGTGACAACGTTTCATTTCATTGTTCTTATTTAAGCACTACAGCGTATCTTTACAATTAGGTCTATTTCATAGCTGACAGAGTACTGCGGGATAGCACTCAGACCTATTTAAACACATTCTTACTTAGTATGTTATTCAATGACTAAGTTAGGAGGAGCGTATTATAAACAAAGGATTATAGTAGTATCTCATGTCGATCTTCCATCGTAAACTCAAATGACAGCAAAGATCTTGTCTATGATGATTTTATATTTGGACTATGTGAAATAAGGTTCCAGATCACACATGGGGCAACTGTGAGGAAAAAGATGAGTTAATGTATTAGGGAAAAATAGTTCACTTTTCTTTGCTTACTCTCATGGAAAGAAGTCTCCAACCGTTGTTCTCTATACGTTTGTACCAGCCACTGCCATCATCTTTCCAGATCTTACCAAGAATCCTTTCTTGCAGCAGCTGCTTGGGGTTTGGTTTTGTATAGTCTTTAGGGCTGTTGGCACACATGTCCACAACAGGTCTATGAGTGAATATTTTATAGTAAATATTTGGAGGAAAATTAGCCTGCAGAGAAATATTACATTAGAACGTGAGCTTGCTTTTTTGAACGTGTTCATCCCTTAAAATACATAAAACACTGAAAGTTTATACTAAACTCAGATAGGGATTCCATATACGTGGAAATTATATTTGGCAATTTAGTAGACTTTATTAACTATCAAAAGAGGATACACCTGTATGTATATCAGTTGATTAAAACAATAACAAATCCTTTGGATTTCTTTAAAACTCAGTCAATTGAACCAAGTGATTTACCGTATAACTGTACTCAACTGAATCAATCTAACTTCTGTCAAAATTACTATAATTGCCCAGCAAATACTGGTCTGTCCAATACGGTCTCAGAAAACACACTACAAGTCTTGATACCATCGTTCAATCCTTGTCTTGCTAAAAAGAGAGAAAATAGAAACATTTCCACCCATGCTGTTATCTCAGTATTCTCGCTGGATGTCTTGGAAAACCCTTTGTGAAAAATGGCATGAAGAGAATGGAGAGCAGGTGGAAAATTACAGGAGTCATTGATAATTATATCAGGTATTATCACCCACTATCAATCATTTTTGATGGAAATTATTTTTGATAGGTGATCACACCCGCTTCTCTCCCCCTCTGGGAAAGGAACCTAAAATATTACTAACACAATTTAAAATGACAGAACATACCTTGTTTAAAATAACATTCTTCCTTTTTACATTTTGTCATGGTGCCAGCAGCTCATGAGGAGTAACTTGGCTCTGAAATTCACATCTACATACTCTTTTCTTACTTCACACTAACTCTTACTAAAGGAGATCATCTTGTAAGTAATAAACTTGGCATCTTGATCTGTATACTTTAACTTGAACAGAAGGCTAAGTAGTGTCTAATGCTTCACTAATATCATTTAGAATTGATGTGATGTGCATTAATGATGTTTTATTTATGAGGCAGTGTTAAACAAGGAGAAGAAGGTCTGGAACAGGAACGAAATAATTACAGAAGAAAAGCAGAAGTTTAGTAGAAATAGATAGCCAGACAGAATGCTGGCAATAAATTAACTTCCTTCCAGCAATTTCACACATTTTAGTCATTGTTTATAATTCTTCTTTAAATACCTTGAAAGCATAAGATGTTTACACAGGCCTATGTTGCTTCAAGCTATTTAAAGGTCAAATATCAAGAAGTAAGTATTTTATGCCTAAATCTAAGCAGATACATACACCAAGACATTCCAAGTAAAAGACTATTTAAGCATTTACATATTATTTGTCAAATCTTGCTGTAGTAAGATTCTAAGTCAGAAGCCTATGCACCACAAGCTCCCTCTATAGTTAACAGAGCTAGAAAGTCAATTCCACTACCACTGTTAAGATATTAATTGTCCTCTAGACATAACAATTTCTTCCTGTTGACTATACCTTGAACAACTACGCTCTTTGCTGACAAAGCTCAACCAAGTGATTAAAGGCAGCTGGAATAAATCTGCCCATTAAAAGTCTGCCATAAAAACTCTGTTCCACTGAAATCAACTTAAAAACTAACATTCTGATAACCAAAGCTGTACCCTTAGTAAAAGCAGACCAACCACATATCTCTACAGCAATGAGACTGACAAGCGCCCAGAACTGCAGAAATACAGGTTACTTTTTTTAGGTGCTTAATTCATGAATTGAGGAACCCAGTTTTATCCACCTTGACTTGTTTACTTGAATACATTCATTTTATATAAATACGCTTAATAGTTTCATGCACTAGTAAGTCTACGCATCCAGAATGAACAACCACAGTGAATATCACATATTGTAAAATGATACTTACGCCACCTAGTCTGAATTTGATGAAAGCACCCGCTGCAACATCTAGCAACTCTGCCTGCAAGCAAAAGAGTAATAACCTACAATGCTTCCATCCTACTGACTAATTAAGGCATAAACAGTTATGAGCAATTAAATAATTCAATTTTTGAAAGTAAAGCTAGGCTTAAAATCTTGCAGTACACATGCTGAATACTATTTAGACAGCTGGATCCCAGACACCAACAAAGATCCACTGCTTGGGTGGGGCTCTGCTGCTTACAACCAAGAGGATGACCTCATGCAAGCAGCAATTGTTTTAGTCTCAGCAAAGTTTTATTGCTTGAATTACTCTCGCAGAGTGACTGCAGATACGTCCATTCCTTACCAAAGATGTCATTTCACCTACAGAAATCACAGATTTGGGGAAGTCTGCCATTTTTCGCTTCTGATCTTCTAAGAGGTTTGGTCAAAGAAATTTTGGCAATGCAAACATAAAATTCCATCTAGCAAAATACCCTCTCCCTGGTATTGGCCATTATCAGATGCTTAGGAGAAAACAGAAGAAACATATGACTGTAGAAGGGATTTCTTATAGTCACTGCCCTCCCAGCTTCTAGCATTCAGGAAGATATTGAGCCAGCAGATGCATCTAAACCAACATATTTAATAATCACAGATGAACCTACTTTCTGTGGATGTAACTCATCTCTTTTTAAATCCATTTCTATCTTATACCTCTAAAAATGTGTATCAGTAAGTTCCAAAATTTAATTGTTCACTCTGTGAAAAAGTAATTCTTTTGCGGAAGGCAACCAACCCCCGACTGATAGACAGGGAACAGTTCTGTGATGCTATGCTCTGTAAGTTTCTTATCAGTATAGACTATTACAGCAAGATCTGGCTCCAGATTCAGACTCCTAAATTTGCATACCTACATGTAGTTGTCCACATGTGGGTTAGGCCCTGAGGCACCTAGTCAATGGGGAGCACTTGATATCATCAGTAGAGGTTAGAGAGCAATTCAGTTGACCAAGTATTGTCTATTTTTTGATGAAATGAGTCACACTCTAGGTTTTGCTGACTGCATTTACCAAACCTGCACTGACTATAATGACAGTGCAATTACCCAATCATACGTAGACACTTCAATTAGGTGTCTTAATCTGCAGCTGAATTCCAGCCTTAATTATACTTAAGAGGCTTTCCATTTTCTTACAAATGATTTGCTTTTAAAAATAAACACTGTTATTTAAAGAAAGCTATTTTATGTCTCTGTATTTATTAATTACAGATCCCAGGAGGAAGAAATATAGGGGGCAAAGTTTTTTGGGCCTTCCTTTCCAATTACATCTGTGATGTTTGCTGTATCTTAAAATCGAATCTAAACAGAAAGATCACATTTAGCCCCGGATGCCAACACCGACTTTTCAGATAATTGATTTTTTTTTTTAATTTCACTACAAATTAATTTCTGTATACTACTGTGAATACTCTACTTCAATTACTTGGTAGGATCTGCAGAAACAGGCTCTTGACCAGGCTTAGGCCCTGTACTACAGAAACCAGAAAAACATATGAAACATAATGAGGTTTCTAGCAAATAGAAAGCTACTTAAGGAAAATGCCATCTACAGTCTCCTACGAGTAAGTACACAGGAAGTTAACTTGGCTTATAAATGCTTTTGTAATTATCCAACAGCTTGCAAGTAGCTTAAAAGAAATGAGTTGCTGTCCTTATATTTACTCCTAGAAGGCAACTGACTTCTATATGCTTAGTCTCTTCCTTTTTTCACCTCTGTTTTGTTTATGTTTTTATTTTGATGTTCCAGCTTTGCTCTCCCTGGCACCACAGTTTCAATTGTGTTCAACCTCACAATGCATCCAGACTGTGGGACTCGGAAAAAAAACGAGAAGAAGCAAAAATACTGTTTGACTTATAATACTGTAATGAGCATCATTTTACAACATCATACCACAAACAAAGAACATCACTGAGACAAGCTAAGACTAGAGCAAAAGTATGTGACTTTATACTATGTTGCTATATCAGTAAGTACAGCCCTTACCTCCCGAGGGTCAATGCACTTCATCAGAAGATGAGGATCCCCTGTTCCTTTAAAGCTGATTAGCTCTTTGTAGTATTGAAATATACGCATATCCTGCAGAAAAGTGCAAAGATACTGAGAAAGCCACAGTCTCTGTATTTTCCACTTTGGGAAAACGGCTGCAAACGGATTTTCCCACACCGAACCTTACACACTTTAAGATGAATTGAGGCACAATCTTTGAAATGGTCTAATAAATTGTATTTATCTAAGATAAACTAAATATACTATAAATAGAAATAGTTTCTGCTGACGTTAGAATACGGTAAAGGTGAAAGAGCATCTCAGAGGGAAATGCAACAGTATAAAAGTACAGTCTTCTGCTTTCTTAGAAAGTATGTTGAAATAGAGCATCTAAATCCATCAACATATCAACAACTGACTGTGATAAATTGCTTAGTAAAACTCAGCTTTTCTTCTCCAGCTTAGATTTACAGAGCTACTCCTAAAAATAATTTGTTAATATAACCCAACATTTTAAAAATTCTTTTTGGTAAGATCAGGCCACCCTATCCGGGTTCTTCCTTTTCCAGCCACCATTAACTACTTATGGCTCTTGAAGATAAACTTTTCTCCAGTAACGCATCACTGTCTTTCTCCTAATGAGGGCTGTCCCTCTGTATTTGAAGGTCTTGTAATGGGTATTTATCTGCATGCTATGGACTACTACAAAAGAGGAGGGTACCGAATACAAGAAAAAACATTGCTGGTATGTGTCCATTGGTAGCAGAGCAGCAATGTTCTGGAATACTGCAATGCAGAAAGTTAGGATACGTAACCTGAGCTTCCAGATTATTTTCTTCTCTTCCTCGATGGTTCTCAGTGAGTTCCTAACAAAACAGATACAATGCCAATAAACACAATATTTTGTAACTCGATCAGGACATTGAGATCTGCCATGGAATTAATATAGAAAAAGTGGATTAAAAACTAAAGTTAAATTCAAAGACTCCAAGTAAAAGGCAGAGCAGATAATTCTAGGCAGTTGTCAACAGGACATCCACTCAGGGTATTATGTCTCACAACTACAAATAATCCGACAGCAAGATAAGATTGACATCGCATACAGACAATGCAGTTTCCTAAGCAATAACAGAAGATACAGGTATAGTTGATGCACTACAGTCATCTATTGGACAAGAAGGCAAGTAGGACAGATAATGGAAGAATGCTCTAGGTATAGGACAACGACGATAAAAACAGAGACGCTCACAAAAAAGAAATCCATTGAGGGTTCCTAAAGATATAGACATTACAACCATTTCTTGACGTTTTCTTATATTCGTCTCTAGGTATCCTCTTCTGACTGCTCTTGGAGAGAGGATACTTGTTCCGCTAAACCTCTCATCATCCAGTACAGATGTTCTTACAAAGACAAGATAGTGATGAAATCACTTAGTGAGGGATAAAGAAGAACAGAGTTGGAAACCTAAGAGGTGAAAAGGATAGGCAAGCAGGAATAGAGGGAAGGGTAGCAAGAAAGAAGACGAGATGATCCAGCCTTAGGAAAAAAAAGATGATCTGGCTTTAGGAAAAAAAGAAGAGCAGGCAACGGTGACGCAGCCTAGAGCCAGAGAAAAAGCAGGATACACATAGAAATCTGTGGGACATAAAAGAAGGGAGAACTCAAGGCAAAACTGAAGGGAGAGTCACACACACACTCGGAACAGGTTCATGAGCAGGGTTCTTCGAGAGGCCTCTCACTACAGCAGACCCAGAAAACAGAATTATGTATCATTAGACAGCAGAAAGAATACGAGAGGTGGCCCCAAACTGAATAGGATACTACTGAGAGGCAGAAATTCAGTGATCATCCTTAAGGCTGGCATAAAGAGCACTTCTTATCGGATGTTCATTGAATCTATTTTTGCCTGGGTATCATTACACAGTCTTTAACTACATATTACAGACCATTTTTTCCCAGTGAATCCCATCCCATCCTACTATAAGCTGTTTTAATACCTTTTATACTAGAATTACAATACTTGCAGTAATTACTGACATGTAAACAGTCTTAAAACAACAAATAGACAAATTTTAACAGAAACTATTTTAAAATAAGTCCCATTCTTTCCATTTCACTTACCATCCAGAACACAAGTTTTTGCTGAAACAGTATAAGAACTCAGAACACCTACAAGAGCATTTCTACGCTATAAATTTCCTTAAATATTAATTTAGATGCATTCCTGATTTATTATTTTATTTCTTCTTCAATTGCTAGGGCTTTCGTTACCTAATGAGTGTTTGCTTTCTCCCATTCCTACCTCGAAGTCCTACATGCATTTTTTCGAGATCACAGAATGTCCTTTAACAGTTTAGTATTATTCGGGGGAATCCCAATCCTGCATTCTCTGTAAAATCCAGAATTTTGGATTTTACAGGACTTCAGATAAACAGTATGTACACTAGTGGGCCTCACTGAATTTAGGAATTATTAAAGTTCAAGGCTCAAGCAACAAACATAACCAAAAATATCACACAATATAAGGAGCTAACTTTCCTCCACACACTAGCTAAGGTGACTTTTTTTTTTATGTGGCAGTACGGAAACTCCTTTGCTTTTAATAAGTCAATATAAAAATCATCACATACACCTCTGCGCACTGTTACAATATACAATATATACAATATTATATGCATATACAAAACATATCACAATATACTTCTGCGCACTATTAACCATCTATCAAGAGTCAGAATCACCTCCTGGAGACTGCAGGTATTTGTAATGGTGGAGGTGAGATCACACTGAAGAAGCTCCTGGCAGAGAATTCACTGTCATTTTGGTTTAACAAAGAGAAAAATTTAGTACCTACTGAACCATATAATACTTAGAACTGTACTTCAGACTTACAATAAAGCTCTTCCAGCACCTCTGTATAATTCTTGCAGCGTGATTCTGTTTCTCAATAGGTGCAGTAGAGAAGACATCAACTGGAATGTCCTGTCCTTCCACGGACATTACAAATATCTAAACGAAAGCGATATGCAGGAATGTTGTTCACAAATATTCTAACAATGATGCAATTGCTATTTCCACATTCCTTTTACTTTAGAATCAGTTTGAAGGCTGTGTTCAACAGACGTTTGAAAAAAGTCTGTAAATTAGGAGTTGAAAAGAGTATTCTTTTCCATTGTTCCCTCCCTAGATTCACAATCTTAAGCAGAACTCTGAATGAGGAACTGTTAGAAGCTGATAAAACAGACATAAAAGACTTCATTTTCAAAGGTCATGCATAACTACAGATAATTATCATGTTCAATCACCACAACTACAATCCAACATTTTGGATGTGTACGTGACATGTAGTCTTAAGTGCCTCTGTAAAGCACTCCCTTAGTGCCTTGTGTTATTACAGAGACACAGGATACCATAGAAACACGAATAGTCTAATAACCAGAACAGTCTCAGCTAATAAGGATCTAAGAAGACCCTATGAACAGTTTGTGGTTTGTAATACTTAAACTGAAAAATCAGTAGAGACTCTCTCTTAATTTAGAAATGTGAAGCACAGCCACTTGGGAACCTGCTCTTTCATAAATAAATGACGAAGACACTATCTTTGTCACTAACCAGTTCACTCCAGAAGTTCATTATTTCTCAAATGAGGCACTCATGAAGACTGCAGAGTTTTACTCAGGAAGCAGAACAACGCGCACAAAAGCTCATCTTTTTTTCCCAACTGTATCAGCAGGTCTACTGTGGATACTGCCTGGAAAGATCTTATTTCCACCTCTGCTGAAAACCCTTCTTTCTTTCCCCTCCTAAGTTCACTAGGTACATCTTTGTAACTTCTACACTGATTAATGAAACATATATTTTAGACTACCCTTGCCTAATTGCTAGACGGAATTCATTATACCAACGTTTAATTCATTTCTATTTGGTTTAGTAACAGTAAGAGTAATGGACAGAAGCATCACAGTAAAGAGAAGGATGAAGGGCTCCCTCTCTGTACTGCTGCTAAGGAAGTACACAGAATGGTCGGGATACAGATAACGTAAAATATCAACAGCAAAAAGAAAAACTTTTCCAAAAAAACCAACAAGAACTATTAAAATTAATAGAAAGATTAGAAGAATAAAATGGGGATTTCCTGAAAAGGTAAATGCGATACACATTTGTCACTATATGGAGGGAAAGAACTACTAAGACTAATAAAAAGGACAGTGAAAACTGGAAATAGAGCTAAGAAATTGAACAAAATAAACCATTTACACTGAAAATCAGTAATATTCTCCTTGAAGACCGAAAAATTAGACAAAGGTATCTGATAATGAACAATTCTACATTATCAGTGGTATCTGATAATGAACAATTCTACATTATCAGTGGCATAAAACTAATGAGCTAAAGGAACCTTTAGATACCTAAATACTATGATTCTGAATTTTACTTTGAATTTGGCTAACTACAATAGCCTCAAAAAAAATAGAACATACTTTCTCTGGAACAATACGGAAGATTAGATGTTTAAAGAAAAAAAATCAAAGTTT